ATTGGCTTGGGTGTGTCAGGGGCGCATTGGTTTGGGAAAGGAGGACCTCCCCAGCAGGTGCCGCGAGTTGCCCAGTATGGGTCGTTGGCGGCGACTTCCGCAGGAGGGAGCCCAGCTGCTTCGCTATGGACTTGTGCTGCTTCGGTCGAGGTTCCCCATCCTCCGCCAACAGTCTCTCCTACTGCCGTGGCGGTGCCCCAGGCGTCCCCAGCTGTCTCTGCTTCTCCTGTCGGGGGAGGAGGAATTCCCCAGCCAGTCACGCCAACTTCTGCCGTTGACACGGCGCCCCACCCGCTAGTGGCTGCTTCTTCTGGAGTTAAAAAATCTCCTGAAGGCCCGAGCGCGGGCTCGGAACTGCTCCAACCCATCCAGCCTGTTTCCGCCGCCTTGTTTTCCTCGGTTGGTTGCACGGCAGGGTCTGACGTGCCACTGTTTTCTTTCATTGTGGCAGGTCCGGTTTCTGCAGGATGGGAGGTCGAGGCGGTCGGAACGGTGCGCAGGCGCAGGAGGCCGTCAGAGGCAGGCCGCTCGAGATCCATTTCGTCGGGATGCGACCATGTTGGTGGCTCCGTGGGAGTTGTCTTCAGCAGCAGCGTGCGGTCGGAATCGCCGGTAGTGCCTTGGGCCGAGAATTGTAGTACGAAAACTCCATCGTTATCGATCGCCTTCCCGATGTAAGTTTCGTCGTAGAATAGCTCGAAGGTCTTATCCTTATGATTGCTCTGAATGTCGACTCCGCATCGCATGAGCTGAGCTGAGGAGAGCAAGTTGTATTGCAATTCAGGTGCGACGAGGACGCCTCCGATGTGAATAGTGAACTTCGTTGGCTTCAAGGTAGATCTCGCCAATGTCATATGCCTTCATCTTCCCGTTGTTGGCGACGGTGATTTTGCAGGGTCGTTGCATACGCAGTGAGTTACTGATGAAGGTGGAAGATCCCACCATGTGCTGCCCGCAGCAACTGTCGAGGTACCAGGTGTTGAGATCCTCGTGGCGTTGGCATGCGATGTTGGCGATCTTGGGTGTGACGATGCGATCAAAGGAGTAGGCGGAGGGAGCTCAAAGTCAGGTGGAATGTCTGAGGGACGATCGATCCAGCTATAGACTGTTGGGTCATTGTCTGGGCTGGCCGCAACAGGGTTGATGGGATTGTGAAACGCAAATGTTACTCGATCCCAGTATCGGAATCCTCTGTTGCGGCGAGCCATGCAGCTCATGATTGTCCCTTTCCCTTTATCCTTCGCCGTGATGAGTGCAGGAGATTGAGAAGTGCTGGCAACGGAAGGAGGCGACACAGTGGAGGTTGCAGCAGAGGATTTCGTTTGTGCCGAGGGTTGCTGACTGGAGGCGTTGCGCCGTTCGTCAGCAGCCTGACGCTTGTAGCACTGGTCGATAGTGTGGCCAGACTTCTTGCAGTATTTGCAGAAAGCTCCTTTCTTCCCGCGTTGCTCCCCTTGTGACGCTCCTGTGTAGAAGACTAACTTCTCCCGTTTGACATTCTTCTCGTTGTACAGGTCGATCTCCTTCTGCTCCGAAAGAAGCGTGGCGCACAGAGCCGACTCCGAAATCGTTGCTCGGGCACGGAGGAGTGACTGACATTGTCGCCACTCGGGGCCGAGACCGGAGATGACCATTGAGATGAACATGTCATCGAGAACGGTTCCACCGCACTTCTTAACTTGATCGCGCAGATTGCGGCACCGGTTAACATATGGTCCCGCTTTCTCCCCTTGCTTCATTTTAACCGAAGTTAGCTGGCTGAGTAGGCGACTCATGGTGACTGGATCTGTTGCCATATATGAGTTGCGCAGTGTTCCCAGGATGCGTATGCGGGAGCCCACTCCGTCTTGTATGGATGTATGCTTTGCTGTTCTTCGGGAGAGAGGTTTCGAAGAAGGAGAGCGGTATACGCGAGGAGGGATTCGTGGTAGTATTGATGCTTCTCCTGGATGGTGCCTTCCGAAGGAAAAGGTAGGCTTTTGTCGTAGTACATCCACGTCTGAGCGGTTGTCGCGAGAAACTTGAGAAAAAAAGGGTAGAAATCTTTGCCGTAAAAAAGGGTTGAGGTCCTCAGTTTTGAAGTCAGAACAAACTTGGTTTGCATGGAAGCGATTTCTGACTGTGTCCGTTGCAGGTTGTCTTGTGCAGGAGCTGAGCCTTGATGATTGTCAAAGGTGAAGGATCTCTCGGAGTTGACGCGGCGGTCTTCTCCAGGGAGAGGAAGTCCAGCAACTCCACGTGCATAGCTTGAACCATCAACGCTCATTGCTTGATGGCTTTCAAGGGCGTTGATGCGTGCGACTAGCTGCTCAACGACAGCGGCGCTGACGGAGGTCACCGCTGATGGCGCATTAGTCGTTGCTGGTGGTGGGCCCGGTGAGTCTGCAGTAGCTTTTCCTTCAGGAGCCATGATATTGCAGACTTAAATATGTATTAAGCAATTTTATAACGAGATTGTTCTAGGGAGAACGAGGACTTGCCAGATCTTATAATCTACTTTAGCTCTTATACCATGTTGATATAACCAAAGGATGAAGTAGATAGGATAAGATCTGTTACCGTCATCGCCCGGATATAAGACATATATGTCTTATCTCGTACACGGGCAAAAATGCTTGAGTTATCTTGTAAACGGGATGGTTTAGGGTGTCTTATAAATCTTATAAATGGACAAAGAACCGTTTAGAAGATACCCCCTCGCTATACATTTGCCCCTAACTCCTACACTTTCTTAACCCGTACACACAAATAGGTGTCTTATAATAAGGCTAGCCTGTTTATAAGAGACACCCGTATAATAGACAACCCCTGTCTACTATTCAACACTGTCTTATATCCGGGTGATGACGGTAAGTTTGAGAGGAGACTGTCAGAATCCCAGCCACTAACCACTGGGATAAAAGGGCTTGTTTATATAGCGGGTGAGTGCGCCCATAACCCCCCAGGCCAACGTGCCTGTAACCCTTCCCTAGGATCATCGGGGATCTCAAGTGGACCTCTGACACCCCCCCGCACTGGGATGCCCGAAGTGCACACACCGGGAATCGAACCCGAGACCTTCGCTCTGATACCATGTCAGAATCCCAGCCACTAACCACTGGGATAAAAGGGCTTGTTTATATAGCGGGTGAGTGCGCCCATAACCCCCCAGGCCGACGTGCCTGTAACCCTTCCCTAAGATCATCGGGGATCTCCAGTGGACCTCTGACTGAGACAATGAAGTCTCTGTGGTGACCTTGTTTAATAATGGTAATTGAAAGAGAACAAGATGATTAAAGGATATGATTACAAGTGATTAAATAGCAAACTAACTAGCCATGTACTCTGAGGGGTGCATTCCCTTATTAGCTGTATTACATAGCTACAGTAATCGCGACTATTGCCCTGCTCGACAGTTACCATGTTGCAGCGATAGACTGTCGTGCGATTACTGGATGGTCAAGGGTCACGACCGTTGACTACCCTCGACGGTTGACCTTCGGGTGACCCTCGACCTTCCGCATGCTCTATATGAGCTATTGCGGTACTAGTACAGTGGAGCAGCTTCGGGAATGCTTATATAACGTTTCGGTTATTTCAACACCAAGTATCTCAATAAAAGTGCAACCAGCAGGACTAGTAGAAAGAAAATCAAAACTTTGCTCACATGTTGTTCAATACATTTTTTCTCGCTCAACCAAATACACTTGTACCGTAACAACCTGTAACATATAATTCCATACATACTTCAAATGTGAAATGTTTTTTATTTACTTCCGAGATGTATCCAAATATTTGATGAATAATGAATGTGTTTTTAATCGGATTTCCTAAACAAATGTTGCCAAACGCGTTCATACCTATTAGGGAACGCGTTTGTTCTCACCTTTGTAGGGAACGCGTTCACACCTTTCCCCACAGTTCCCGCAGCTCCCGCAGTTCCCGCAGCTCCCAAAGTTCCCACAGTTTCCAGTTCTCGCAACCCTGGTGTGCTCGATCGCATTACTGGCACTAGAGGCGGAATCTTTCCTCCCGTCATTGCCGTCCCCTCATCCATCCATTCGCGTTCCTCCCCATTCTGCCCGTCATGACGACAGTCGCTACACCCCCAATCGACTCCTTTGCGCTGCCCCAGCACCATCGCCTAGTCCTAAGGTCCACAGAATGCGCGTTTCCCGGCCTCGGCACAGCAGCGATCCCCCTGAGTATCCATTCCCCACGCGAACGCGGCGAAACCCGGCGGCTTACGGCGCCTGCTGCGCCTCTCCGTTCGCCTCCCCACTTTCGCGACGAAACCCGTTACTACGTGATCCGAACGAAACATTCTTTCCCTGTCACCCAGTCGAAACATTCTGTCGGACATAAATCGACACCCTCCCAAGGGCTCAAACACATTCTCCCGCCGCCCTCGCTCCCAAGGACTTAATCATATCTCTCAATCAGAGTCGTAGTCGCGGCACCTACTACTACCAGCGACGTCAGTCCCGTTCAACCCTGACAGAGAAGCTTATCGCCATCCCGACGTCTCCCGTTTCCCCGCTCCGCCCGCTGTCGCCACACCCCTGATTGGCTCCCGCCTCCCCCGTCCGCTCGGCGCAGCCCTGATTGGATCCCGCCTCCCCGTCCGCTGTCGCCATGAAGCCCTGCGCGCGCCTGTCCGGCCTGTGTGGCCTCGCCGCACTCGTCGCGGGTCTCGTTGCCATCAGCTTCCTCGCAATCCACGCCAGCGCTGCTGATGGTGAGTAGGCTGACTGCCACACATACTGGCAGTAGTAGGCATGTAGTGCTAGCGTGTGGATGAGTGATGGAGTCCGGGGAGAGCACAATCATAAGCAGAATCTTCCTTTTCCTACCGTGCTTCTGTGCTGGTGTGCGCGCCACTTTGCCCTTACTTTGAAACAATCCAGACTTCTGTGCAGACCCGTGTGCCAACAAGGATTGTGGAAAAGGTACCTGCACTATTGATGTAAACATGCCCTTGTTGTGTGTGTGCAAGGATTGTTTTGGTTTCGACGGCGACAATGAGACGTGTGTGGTGGGTGAGTGCTGGTGTGTGGGTGAGTGCGCACGTGTGGGTGACTCCGAATCATAAGCAACATTTCAACTCATCCAACCCGCTTTCCCTGCTTCACCTCGGAACCCGTCACTTGCTCTGCAGGCCCGTGTGACGGCGTGGAGTGTGGGTTAGACGCTTCTTGCCGTGCTGTCTCTGATATTGTTACCGTGTGCGACTGCACCAAGCAAGGGTATTTCTTCAACGAGGCTAACAAGACGTGCTTTGGTGAGTGCTCCACTGGTGAGCTGTAGGCGATGCATTCATTGAGGCTCTCGCATTTTAGCGTCTCACGTTGGCGCCACTGAGAGGCAACGCTTGAAACGTTCACCCCTCCTCACTCCTAACTCATCTTCCCCCCTGTCCGCCCCCTTCCTCTCCTCTCCCCTTCTCCCCTGTCCTGCCTCCAACTCTTCACCTTCAACCCCCCATCATCGCCGTGCAACCTTCTACGGCCATGATCTGGCATTGTCGCACCAATCAACGGTCTCAACGGCCGGTCAGCCCCGGGGGTGCGGACGACGGTGGCACTGCAAGCAAGTGGCAACAGCGCCGTGGGTCAGAGGAACGCCACCTTCTTCACGCGGCTGCCGGCAGAGCAGGCCACTGGCGCCACCGCATGCAACAACCTGTACGCCATTCTCAGCGGCAGCACCAACATCACCGTCGTGTGGAATACCACAGAAGCCGTGCCTGGCAGCCTCCCGCTTGGCAACGCCATGTGCAGGAACGTGTCGTTTTACGGCGGGTGGGACTGCATGGAGAAGCTGAATTTTACCATCACACGTCCTGCAAAGAAGGGCAGTGCCTACCCCGTCACGAAGAGGTGTGTGCGCGTCATGCACACAACTGGTGTGTTCTATTTTTCCGTGCTTCCAGCCTAGTACAACGCTCTTTTATCACTAGCGTTTATTTCACTGTGCTTCTGTCGTAGTTGTAGCGTGAATGGAGCGAATTTCATAACTTGTCCTCATCCTTGGTCTTCCCTATCTCTACATCTCCCTCTCTCAGGACTGTCCAAGGAGTCACTTCGCTGCGATCAGTTGGATGCGAGATCAGTAAGTGCGAGGGCATGCATGTTACACTCGGGTTGTTTTCACTTCGTCTAAAGTGTGTCTCGTGCACATTAGAGAAGATCTTCAAAGACGCTAGCATGTGCTTTGCTCATTCCGACAAAATTGATGACACAAGGAAGATACCACAAGGGAGCGAGACACACCTCCGTATGCCTGAAAACTATCCCCTTCCTCTACATGCCTGGATTGTTTGTCCATCTGTGGTGCCCACAACAGCCACATGTCACAAGGATTGCGGAGCTGCCGCGTGCGTTCTGTATAATGGCAACCCACGGTGCCAGTGCCCCGCGGGCCGCGTGTTCAACGCAGCCAAGAAGCGCTGCCGCTGTAAGTGCCTTGTTGTTTGTTGCCAACAAGAAAGAATCAACTTCTCGTGTATGTATATGGTAACTTGTGTGATTGCCAGTGTGACGCCGGCTGCACGAATAGGAACGGGCCTGCACTGGTGGGCTCTATACTGGCGGGATCTGCTCTGGTGGGCTCTACCAACTTTCTGTCTCATCTCGCGTCTTATGCTGTTGCATGCTCTCCATTTGCCCCCCCCTCTCGCAACCATGAACTGGCCATTTCCACCGTGCAGAGGCTCGTGGGCAAGGGAAGAACGGGTGGCGGTGGCCCTAGTTGGATGGACAGGAGGTGCAACCTGACAGCGCTAGGAGCAGAGGTGCAAGCAATTGCATGCGAGGAGGAGACGAACCAATTGTCAAACATATATGTTGCTTATTGTGTAGGCTGTAGTGGGGTAGCCCATATGGGGTACAACCCAAATTAGGGTTTCCTACTTGTACCCATCTTCCTGCTAGTTCATTCATTCCTGCTGCTAGATTCTAACATGGTTTCAGAGCACTAAGGTCCGTAGGACCCTTTTTTTTTCGGGCCCACATACCGCTGCGCTACCCCACGTACCTGCCTGCCTTGCCTTGCCTTGTGACGTGCTGCACTACGCGCGCCGTCCAGCAGCCCTAGCGCTGCCTCCTGCTGCCCTAGGCCAGCGCGCTGCCCCTAGAGGCCCGTAAAGCCCGCGCGCCGCCCCTACACGCCCTTCAGGCCCGCGAACAGCCCCTGCAGACCGTTAGGCCCCTTGCAGCCGCACGCTGCCCGCACCGAGCCGCGCGCAGCCCGCTGCTGCCGCGCGCTGCCCGCACCGAGCCCGCGCAGCCCGCACCGAGCCGCGCGCAGCCCGCTGCAGCCGCGCGCAGCCCGCACCGACCCGCGCAGCCTGCTGCAGCCGCGCGCAGCCCGAACCGAGACGCGCGCAGCCCGCTGCTGCCGCGCGCAGCCCGCGCCGAGCCCACGCAGCCCGCGTCGAGCCGCGCGCGGCCTGCTACGGCCTCGCGAGGCCCGCGCGCGGCCCGCAGCAGCCCGCGCCGAGCCGCGCGCGGCCTGCTACTGCCTCGCGCGGCCCGCGCGCGGCCCGCAGCAGCCCGCGCCGAGCCGCGCGCGGCCCGCTACTGCCTAGCGCGGCCGCGCGCGGCCTGCAGCAGCCCAGCGCGCTGTCAGCGCAGCCCGCGCCGAGCCGCGCGCGGCCCTGCAGCTGCCTCGGCCCCGACCTGCCGCTGATGCGGCCCCGCCCTGCAGCTGCCACGGCCCCGACCTGCCGCTGATGCGGCCCCGCCCTACAGCTGCCGCGACCCCGACCTGCCGCTGACGCGGCCCCACCCTGCGACTGCCGCTGAAGCGGTCCCGCCCTGCAGCTGCCGCGGCCCTACTCTGCAGCCGTTGTTGCGGCCCCGACGTCGCCACTGTCGTGCGCCTACTCGGTCGCCGCCCGTCGAGCGCCGACCCTGCTCGCCCAGGGAGCGCCTGCTCTTCCAGCCTTTGGTGAGCGCCTGCCTGCCTGCCTGCAGGCCTGCCTGTCTGCCTGCCTGCCTGCCTGCCTGCCTGCCTGCCTGCCGGCCTGCCTGTCTGCCTGCCTGCCTGTCTGCCTGCCTGCCTGCTTGCCTGCCGGCCTGCCTGCCTGCCTGCTTGCCTGCCTGCCTGTCTGCCTGCCGGCCTGTCTATTTGCCTGCCTGCCTGCCTGCCTGCCTGCCTGCCAGCCTGCCTGCCTGCCTGCCTGCCTGCCTGCCTGTCGGCCTGCCTGCCTGCCTGCTTGCCTGCCTGCCTGCCGCGCCTGCCCTGCCCGCGCTACTGCTGCTACTACTGCTACTGGCACGTGGCCAGATGCAGCTCCAGCGACGTTCACGCGAGTCTCTCACGCCCCAGCAGCTTAGTGAGTGGTATACTAGTTGGGGCTGTCGTGGTAGCCGTCGTAGCTGTCGCCCTGGAGCTGGTCAGTTGGGGGCGTCTGGCAGTGGCCAGCTGCAGCTGCAGCGGCGCCCACGCGAGACACTTACGTCCCGGCAGCTCTAGGAGTGGTACATTCAGAGTAGCATATCTACGCGTACAGTTCGTTGCCCGTACGTCATTCGCACAGGTGATCGGACTGGTCAGCCTTGCGGGACGCTTGGTCACACAGAGTCCCGCTGCTTCGCCCGTCTGAGCGACGCCTGGCGTACCGAGTTTGGCGACGAGGCTGAGCTCCCCACCTGGGTAGAGCTGCTTGGACAGAGGGTAGATATCTTTGCTCTTGACTATGATGCTATTCTCACTGCCATGTATGCATTGTCTACTAGTGTTGACCATGCCTCTTACCTGTGCGTACCGCCTGACCCTGGTATAGAGCCTGCTGCTCCCGGTACTGGTGAGGCTGCTGCTCTAGGTGCTCCTGCGTCTCCTGCTCTAGGTGCTGGTGAGTTTGCTCTCTCTGGTACTGCGCCTGCTGCGGTCTTGCACACCTTCACCCTTGACTCAGGAGCTTCCCGCTCTTTCTTTCGCGACTGCACCACACTCACGCCGCTCAGTCGGCCAGTCCCGGTCTCCCTGGCGGACCCCTCTGGGGGTCCAGTCCTTGCCCACTACTCCACGGTTCTGCCGTGTCCGGCCGTCCCGTCTGGCTTCCTGTCAGGTCTTTACCTCCCCTCGTTCTCTATGAACTTGGTGAGTGGAGCTGACCTCCAGGATGGGGGGGTTGACCAGTTCACTCCTGCGAGTCAGCGAGTGACTCACTGTACGTGTGCTCGGACGGGCCGACACTTGGCCACGTTCACCCGTGCACCTGGCTCGAGTCTGTACACACTGACCACTGAGTCCCCTCAGGTAGCTGCGTCTGCGTCTACGTCTGGTCAGCTGGCAGCCCCCTGCGAGTGTCGCGCTTTGTCGCACGACACTCTCATGTGGCACCACCGCCTTGGTCACCCCTCCCTGCCTCGCCTTCGTGGCATGCACTCTCGTTCCCTGGTTTCTGGTCTTCCCAGGTCTCTGCCTGCTCTCCCTCCCTCGCCTGCGCCGCCCTGCATTCCTTGCGTCGAGGGGCGGCAGCGCGCCGCTCCTCACTCCTCCTCGTTCCCTCCCACAGAGGCTCCCCTGCAGACTCTCCACCTGGACGTGTGGGGCCCAGCCCGCGTCCGTGGACAGGGCCACGAGCGGTACTTCCTGCTGGTTGTCGACGACTACACGCGCTACACCACGGTCTTCCCCTTGCAGAGCAAGGGGGACGTCCCTGCTGTTTTGATCCCTTGGATCCGCGCTGCTCGTCTCCAGCTCCGCGACCGGTTCCAGCGGGACTTTCCTGTCCTGCGTCTGCACTCCGACAGAGGTGGTGAGTTCACCTCAGACCTCTTGGCAGCCTACTGTGCGGAGCACGGCATCCGCCAGTCGTTCACGCTTCCGGCCTCTCCGCAGCAGAATGGGGTTGCTGAGCGCCGCATTGGCTTAGTCATGGAGGTCGCTCGTACCTCCATGATCCATGCGGCTGCCCCCCATTTTCTGTGGCCGTTTGCGGTCCGGTACGCCGCGCATCAGCTCAACCTTTGGCCCCGTGTCTCCTTGCCGGAGACCTCGCCCACACTGCTGTGGATGGGGAAGGTTGGCGATGCGTCGCGTTTCCGGGTCTGGGGTGCTCGTGCCTTTGTCCGCGATACCACTGCGGACAAGCTCTCCGCCCGCGCTGTTCCCTGTGTCTTCCTTGGCTTTGTCCCTGACGCGCCTGGTTGGCAGTTTTACCACCCCACCTCGCGCTGTGTCTTTGCGTCTCAGGACGTCACGTTCGACGAGTCGGTTCCCTTTTACCGTCTCTTCCCCTACCGCACTGCCCCGCTCCCCCCCCCGCCGCTCTTCCTCGCTCCAGGTGCTCCCCAGGTAGACCCCCTCCCCGCTCCAGGTCCTGCTCCTTCAGGTGTGTCTCAGGTAGACCCTCCTCCCTTGTCTGCGCCGGTTGAGGTCACTGGTGACTCAGGTCCTGCTGAGGGTGGTCCTGCTCGGGGTGCTACTTCTGGGGGTGCTGAGCCTGGGGGTGCGGAGCCTGGGGGTGCGGAGCCTGGGGGTGCTGAGCCTGGGGGTGCTGAGCCTGGGGGTGCGGAGCTTGAGGGTGTGGAGCCTGGAGGTGCTGAGCCTGAGTGTGAGGGGTCTGGGGGTGCTGAGCTTGGCAGTACTGAGTCTGGGGGTGCTGCGCCTGGGGGTACTGAGGCGTCTGGTGAGCAGTCTCCCTGGAGTGGCCGTCTCCGTAGTCGCTCCGCTGGTGCCTCGCCGCTGCCCTCTCGTCGTCGACTCCCCCTCTCCTCCCTGCAGCGGGTTGAGTGGTACCTTGATCGCCAGGGCCGCGCTGCTGGAGCTGGTGACTCTGCTCCTGGAGCTGTTTTTCCTGGAGGCTCTGCTGCTGCTGAGGGTGCGGGCGCTGGAGGTTCTGGTGCTGCTGGAGGTGCTGGCGCTGAGGGTGCTGGCACTGGAGGTTCTGGAGCTGTTCGAGGTGCTGACGCTGAGGGTTCGGAGTCTACTGTTGCGCGGTCTCCTTGGAGTGGCCGCCTTCGTCCACGTGTGCCTGTCACCTCACAGCAGCTGCACGACTGGTTTGGTCGCTGTCTGCGTCGCGCTTCTGGAGCTGGGGGCTCTGCTGCTGGAGGTACTTCTGCTGACGTCACTGGAGCTGGGAGTGGTGCTGGTCTCGGAGGTACTCGTACTGGGGGTACTGGTGCTACTGGGGCTGGAGGTGCTGAGCCTGCGGGTGCTGCTGCTGGGGACACTGCGGCTGGAGACCCTGGAACCGGGGGTGCCGGTTCTGGGGGTGCTGCTACTGGTGACGCTGAGTCTGGAGGTGCTGGCGCTGGAGGTACCGGTTCTGCGGCTGGAGCTTCTGGAGCTGCTGGAGGTGCTGGAGCGGCTGGAGACGCTGGAGCTACTGGAGGTGCTGGAGCTGCTGGTGCTGGTGCAGCTGTGCCGACACGACTGTTCTTCGCTCCGCCGTCTCCGTCGTCTCTGCCGCCGCCTGACTCTGCTCTTCGTCAGGTTGTTACTCTCCCGTCGTCTACTGGTCTTCCGTTACAGCCTGGCTCACCGCTGCCTGCTCCCTCTCCTTACACTGAGCAGACAGGTAGTCTTGCTGAGCGTCGTGAGCCTGCGTCGCGTCCTGTCTCGCCTGTTCGTCCTTGTCGTACCGTTCGTCGTGTTCCTCGTCAGCGTCAGCCGGCTGTCCCCGGCACACCCCTTGTAGCCCTGCGTCGGTCCTCCCCTCCGGAGCGTACTCCTCTTCCGTCTCCCCCTGCGTCCTCTTTGCCTGACGTCGCGGATCCTGAGTCTGACCGGTTTCGTGCTGAGCACCCTACTGTCACGCGTCTGCTAGCCACAGTTGTCACTGACCCGTCATTTGAGTCTGCTGCTGCGTCTGCCTTAGTCACTGAGCTTGTTGACTTTGCTGCTGCCTGTCGTCTAGACTTCGCTGCCAGTCTTGTTGCTGAGTCTTAGTCTGTCTGTCCTCCGTCCGTCGGGGGTGAGTGTGCTCTTAGCACGGACGTCCTTGAGGACAGGCACGAGGACCTTGAGTGTCTTGCGACTGCTGCGCCTCATCTTGTGGCCATGCTGCTTGCCCCTGAGGGAGACCCGGATGCACCAGACATCCCGACCCCGCGCTCTTACGCTGAGGCGATCGCGGGTGAGTACTCCTCTCAGTGGGAGACAGCCATGGACGCAGAGATGGCATCCTGGAAGTCCACAGGCACTTACGTCGATGAGGTTCCCCCTCCTGGGGCGAACATCGTCGATGGCATGTGGATTTTCAGGGTGAAGCGGCCGCCGGGTTCTCCGCCTGTCTTCAAGGCTCGTTACGTTGCTAGAGGCTTCAGTCAGCGAGAGGGAGTTGACTTCTTCCAGACCTTCTCCCCCACCCCGAAGATGACCACTCTTCGGGTGCTGCTGCACGTTGCCGCTCAGCGTGACTACGAGCTTCACTCACTTGACTTCAGCACAGCCTTCTTACAGGGCAGCCTGCACGAGGAGATCTGGCTGCGCCGCCCACCTGGCTTCACTGGGTCTTTCCCTCCTGGTACCCAGTGGAGCCTCCGGCGGCCAGTCTACGGTCTCCGCCAGGCACCTCGTGAGTGGCACGACACACTGAGGACTACACTTGCGGCTCTTGGGTTCGCTCCTTCGACTGCTGACCCGTCGCTGTTTCTGCGCACCGACACTTCCCTGCCGCCGTTCTACATCCTCGTGTACGTCGACGACCTGGTCTTTGCCACTGCTGACACCGAGGCTCTCGCTCAGGTGAAGTCGGAGCTGCAGAAGAGACACACGTGCATAGACCTGGGTGAGCTGCGCAGCTACCTTGGCTTGCAGATCACCCGGGACAGAGCACGCCGCACCATCACCCTGACTCAGTCACATATGGTGCAGCAGGTCCTTCAGCGCTTCGGCTTCTCCTGGTCCTCCCCACAGCACACTCCTCTGGCTACAGGTCACTCGCTCTCAGCTCCACCTTCGGACGAGTCCGTAGAGCCGAGTGGTCCTTACCCAGAGTTAGTTGGCTGCCTCATGTACCTGATGACTTGCACTCGTCCTGACCTCGCGTACCCTCTTGGCCTCCTGGCTCGCTATGTGGCTCCTGGTCGGCACCGACCTGAGCACATGGCTGCTGCTAAGAGGGTACTGCGCTACTTGTGCAGTACATCAGGCATGGGGCTAGTGCTTGGAGGACGGAGTGAGGTGGTGCTCACTGGGCACTCAGACGCGTCTTGGGTTGATGACCAGACTACACAGTGGTCGTCACAGGGTTACACCTTCAGTCTTGGCTCTGGCTCTGTTTCTTGGCGCTCTACACGCTCGTCTTCTGTTCTCAGCTCCAGTTGTGAGGCTGAGATCTACGCCACCGCCATGGCTGCACAGGAGCTACGCTGGCTCACCTACCTGCTGACTGACTTGGGTGAGCGGCCTCGTTCTCCTCCAGTTCTGTACGTTGACAACAAGGCGGCCATTGCCTTGTGTGAGGAGCACAGACTGGAGCACAGAACGAAGCACATCGCTCTGCGTTACTTCCTGGCTCGAGAGTTGCAGCAGCGAGGTCAGCTTCGTCTTCGTCACGTGGCCACTCGGGCCAACACTGCTGATATATTCACCAAGGCACTTCCGTCTGGTGATCATCAGCGCTTTTGTACCCTGTTAGGCCTTGTGCCTACGTTTCCACACTTGCTGTAGTCTTTGGTTGTACTGTGATCTATATATATATTCTGCATGCTTGCCCTTGCTAGGTAGTGATCACTGCTCTATTGTTGTTGCATATATATATACTTCTGCATGTGAACTGGCCTTGTGGCCCTTTGCTTGTGCTCAGAGAGTGTGGTGACGTTGTGATCCACCCTGAGCTTGCTTTGCTTCTCTTGACTGGTCGTGTGACCCTTGTTCTCCCCCACTTTGCCTATGGGGGTGTGTCAAACATATATGCTGCTTATTGTGTAAGCTGTAGTGGGGTAGCCCATATGGGGTACAACCCAAATTAGGGTTTCCTACTTGTACCCATCTTCCTGCTAGTTCATTCATTCCTGCTGCTAGATTCTAACACCAATCTGGCTGACGGATGGATGCCATTTAGTGTGTATGCGCGAATATGAGTGTGTGCGTGCTTGCTCGATGGGATGTTGTACCACTAGCACATGGGGGTGGTATATGTCAAACATATATATCTGTTATATGTTGTAGGTTTTGGTAGGCTGTAGTGGGGTAGATGCTATGGGGTATAACCCCTTAGGGTTTTCTACTTGTAAAATTCTCTCGATAGTTCACACACATTTGTCCCTTACTTCTAACATGGTATCAGAGCAATTAGGTCCTTAGGACCGCTTTAGGACCGCGTTTAAGGGCCCACCAATGGCTTCCGCCGGTTACCACCCTACCCCGCGCCCTACCCTACTTCGCTTAGCCGTGCGCGTCGCCTCTGCTGGCCAGCGCGTCGCTCGCTAGCACCTCGCGCGTCGCCTCTGCTGGCCAACGGGCTGCCCGCTAGCAGCCCGCGCGACTCGCCCGCTGCTTGCGCAGCCCGTGCGCAGCCCCTGCAGGCCCGCGCGCCGCCCGCTAGCAGCCCGCGAGCCCCGTCGTACAGCCCCGCAGCCCCGCACGCCGCCCTCCCTACTGCCGCGGCTGTTTGCTGCACCCACGCGCCGCCCGTCGCCCTGCCCCGCAGCCCCGTGCGCCGCCCGCCGTGCTGCCGTGGCTGCGTGCCGCACCTGCGCGCCGTCCGTTGCGCTCCCTCGCAGCCCAGTGCACAGCCCGCCCTGCTAAAGCGGCTGCCTCCTGCACCCGCGCGCCGCCCTTCACGCTGCCCTGCAGCCCCGTGCGCCGCCCTCCCTGCTGCCGCAGCCGCCCGCCACTCTCTGCGCGCAACCTGCCCTGCAGCCCTGCCAACCGCCTGTAGCCCCGTGCACCGCCTGCCTCTGCCGCGGCTGCCTGCTACGCTTTAGCGCGCCGCTCCTGCCTCTTGCTTTCTATTGCTCTGCCTGCTAATCTTACGCCGGCAGCTATGGCCACCCTCCGCGTTCTCTCGTTCGATGCTGAGGGCCGCCCGATTGAGTTCGAACCCTGGCTAGATGATCTCCACCTGTTCTTAATGAGCGATAGCAAAGACAACGTTTCGCTTTTCGACCACACTTCTGGTGCATCCGGCGCCCCTGCTGCTGCAGCTGAGCTGAGCGTCCGTTCCCAGTGGCAGACTCGTGACGCTGCTGCCCGCCTAGCCATTCGCAACCACCTACCGCTAATCGAACTCAAGCATTTTGGCGAGCACAAAACCGCTAAGGCCCTGTACGACGCTGTAGTTGCTCGATACTCCTCCCCTGCCACTGCTGAGCTTAGCCGCCTCATGCTGCCATACCTGTTTCCTGAGCTGTCCACATTTCCCACCGTTGCCGATCTTATCACCCACCTTCGCACTAGTGACACTCGCCTTCGCGCCGCCCTCCCCAAAGAGTTCTGTGCTAAGAACCCGCCTCCGATGTACTGGACACTCCACTTTATAGTCACCCGTCTCCCTGACTTGCTTAGCTCGGTCAGGGACCACTTTCTCGCTCGCTGTCCCACCGAGCTCACTGTTGACCTCCTCGAGGAGCAACTCCTTGCAGCAGAGAAGAGTATAGTCGCTGTAGCTGCTGCTCGTGGCGCTCCTCGCTCTCCCATCTTTGAGGGGTGCTCTCCCTCTCCCCTCGCCCCCTCCTTCGCTACTGCTGCTGCTGTTGACTTCCTTGGTGCTGAGTCTGCAGGTGCTACTTCTCCTCCTGGTGGGAGGCGCCGCAACGGCAAGGGCAAGGGAGCCAAGGGTAGTGGAGGTGGCACCGGGGGGGGGGGGGGGGTGGTGGAGGAGGTGGAGGAGGAGGAGGTGGCGGAGGGGCTGGTGGTGGGAGTGTTGGCAGGAGTGGCAGTGGCAGTGGAGGCAGTGGAGGCGGAGGGGGTGGCAGCGGCGGTGGCGACAGCGGTGGTGGCCGGGGCGGTGGTAGCGGCAGCGCAGGCGGTCGGGGTGGAGGCACTGGCGCTGGCCAGAGCCAGCAGCAGCAGCAGCGTCCCCAGACATCCCAGCAGCTTCGTGAGTGGCTTACTCAGCGTGGGAAGTCTGGGGGTGGTGGTCGCTGCCCTTATGTCATTCGCACAGGTGACCGCAAGGGTCAGACGTGCAACAAATTCCACGCCCAGTACCACTGCTTCTCCCGCCTTGACGACGCCTGGCGTGAGGAGATGGGCGAGGAGGTAGACCGCCCTCGCTGGCATGAGCTGTATCGGGCTGGTGTAGACATTTTTGCTCTTGACTTTGATGCTATTATCTTTCCTATGTATGCATTGGAAGTTAGTGCTGATGGTGACTGTTATCTGTGTATGCCGCCTGACCCAGGTATAGAAGGTGTTGCCTTAGGAGCACGCGAGTCTGCTCTCTCTGGTATTGCGCCTGCTGAGGCCTTGCACACCTTCACACTTGACTCAGGTGCTTCCCGCTGTTTCTTCCGTGACAGTACTGCCCTCACGCCACTCCCAGCACCTGTTCCAGTCCGCTTGGCTGACCCCTCAGGGGGCCCAGTTCTTGCACGGTCCACCACTGTGCTTCCGTGCCCGGCGGTCCCGTCTGGCTCACTATCAGGTCTCCACCTCCCCTCGTTCTCGACGAACTTGGTGAGCAACGCTGCCCTTCAAGATGCGGGGGTTAATACCTTCACCCCTGCATGGCAGCGTGTGGCGATCTGCACGTGTGCACAGACTGGCCGTCACCTGGCCACGTTCACTCGTCGGCCAGGGTCGAGTCTTTACACACTGACCACTGCGTCTCCTCAGGTCGCTGCTGTTGGTCAGGTGTCTGCGTCAGGTCTGGTAGCCTCCCCCTGTGAGTGTCGCTCCCTGTCGCACCAGACTCTTCTCTGGCACCACCGTCTGGGTCACCCCTCCTTGCCTCGTCTACGAGGCATGCACCGTCGCCTTCTTGTCTCTGGTCTTCCCAGGTCTCTGCCTCCCCTCCCTCCCTCGCCTGCGCCACCCTGCCTTCCTTGCGTCGAGGGGCGGCAGCGCGCCGCTCCTCATTCCTCCTCGTTTCCCCCGACAGAGGCTCCCCTGCAGACCCTCCACATGGACGTGTGGGGCCCAGCCCGCATCACTGGACAGGGCGGCGAGCGGTACTTTCTGCTGGTTGTCGACGACTACTCGCGTTACACCACGGTCTTCCCCTTGCGCACCAAGGGTGAAGTCCCTGCTGTCCTGATCCCTTGGATCCGAGCAGTTCGTCTCCAGCTCCGCCGCCGGTTCCGGTCCTACCTTCTTGTCCTGCGTCTGCACTCTGACAGAGGTGGTGAGTTCTCCTCCGACCTCTTGCGGGCCTTCTGTCAGAGGGAGGGCATCGAGCAGTCGTTCACGCTTCCGGGCTCACCGCAGCAAAATGGGGTTGCTGAGCGCCGCATTGGTTTGGTCATGGAGATCGCTCGTACCTCCTTGATCCATGCGGCTGCTCCCCATTTTCTATGGCCGTTTGCGGTCCGGTACGCCGCGCAGCAGCTCAACCTCTGGCCCCGTGTGTCCTTGCCGGACACCTCGCCCACTCTACATTGGACGGGGGAGGTTGGTGATGCGTCGCGCTTCCGGGTCTGGGGTGCTCGTGCCCTTGTCCGCGATACGTCCGCGGACAAGCTCTCCTCCCGCACCATTCCCTGTGTCTTCCTTGGCTTTGTCCCTGACGCGCCTGGCTGGCAGTTTTACCACCCCACCTCGCGCCGGGTCTTCGCCTCTCAGGACGTCACCTTTGACGAGTCGGTTCCTTTCTACCGTCTCTTCCCCTACCGCACTGCCCCTCTCCCTCCCCCGCCGCTTTTCCTCGCTCCAGGTCCCCCTCCGGTAGACCCCCTCCCCCCTCAAGGTCCTGCTCCCTCAGGCGTGTCTCTGGTAGACCCACTCCCTTTGGTTGTGCCTTTGGAGGTCACTTCTGACACCTCTGGCCCAGCTGAGGGGGGTGACGTTGCTGCTGACGCCCCGGCGGCGTGCCGCCGCACACCACGCTTGGAGACCCCTCCGGGTTTCCCGCCGCGACCGTCTTCGCCGCCTCTGCAGCCGGTTCCTGTTGACTCTAGTGCTGCTGGGGGTGGTGCTACTCGGGGTGCTGCGTCTGGGGGTGCTGAGCCTGTGCGTGAGGTGTTGGGGGGTGTGGAGCTTAGCGGTACTGGGCCTTCGAGTGCGGAGCCTGAGGGTGCTGAGCCGGAGGGTGCTGGGTCGGGGGGTGCTGAGTCTGCTGGCGTTCCTCAGGGTCTAGTTTCCCGGCGAGGACCTCTCTCACCACAGCAGCTTCGAGAGTGGCTTACGTGGCGTAGCCGCATGAGACATCATGCTGCTGGAGCTGGAGGTCCTGCTTCTGGAGGTACTCCTGCTACGGGTGCTTAGACTGGAGCTGCTGGAGCTACTCGTAGTGGAGGCGCTGGGAGTGCTGGTGTTTCTGGTTCTGGAGGTACTGGAGCTGCCCGGACTGGAGGTGTCGCGGGAGGCGCTGGAGCTGGAGACCCTGGAGCTGGTTTTGTCGACCCTGGAGTTGGAGACCCTGGAGCTGGAGGTGCTGGTTCTGGGGGTCCTGCTGCTGGGGGTGCTGGTTCTGGGGGTGCTGGTTCTGGGGGTGCTGCTTCTGGAGGTACTGAGGCTGGAGATACTGGAGCTGGAGGTGCTGGTTCTGGGGGTGCTTCTGCTGCTGGTTCTGGGGGTGCTTCTGCTGCTGGTGCTGGAGCTGGAGCTTCTGGCGCTGGAGCCCCTGGAGCTACTGACGCTGGAGGCGCTGGAGCTGCTCGCGCTGGAGGCGAGGGTAGAGGTACTGCGACTGTTCAAGCTGGTGGTGCTACTGGTCGAGGAGGTGCTCGCGCTTCAGGAGCTGGAGCTGCCGGGACTAGTAGTGCTGCGGACCCTGGAGCTGGTGGTACGGCACAGTCGCGCCTGTTCTTCGCTCCGTCGTCTCTGTCGTCCCTGCCACCGCTTGACACCGTGCTTCGCCAGGTTCTTACCCTCCCGTCTTCTACTGGCCTCCCGTTACAGCCCGGCTCTCCGCTGCCTGCGCCGTCTCCTTACCCTGTGCAGTCTGAGTCCCCTTCAGAGCGTCGTGAGCCTGCGTCGCGTCCTGCCTCACCTATTCGCACTGCTCGTCGTGTGCCTCGTCCACGTCCCCCCCATGTGCCAGGTGTTCACACTATGGCACTTCGTCCTTCCTCTGTTCCTCTACACATTCCCCTACCGTCTCCTCCTGCGTCCTCTCTGCCTGACGTTCCAGACCCTGAGTCTGACCGGTTTCGTGCTGAGCACCCTACTGTCACGCGTCTTCTCGCCACTATTGTCACTGACCGTTTGAGTCTGTTGCAGCGTCTCCCTTGGTTGCTGAGCTTGTTGATTTTGCTGCTGCCTGTCGTCTAGACTACGCCGCTAGTCTTGTTGCTGAGTCTGAGTCTGTCTGTCCTCCGTCCATCGGGGGTGAGTGTGCTCTTTGCACGGACGTCCTTGAGGACAGGCAGGAGGACCTTGAGTGTCTTGCAGCCGCTGCGCCTCATCTCGTGGTCATGCTGCTTGCCCCTGAGGGAGACCCGGATGCACCAGACATCCCGACCCCGCGCTCTTACGCTAAGGCGATCGCGGGTGAGCACTCCTTTCAGTGGCCGACAGCCATGGACGCAGAGATGGCATCCTGGAAGTCCACAGGCACGTTTGTCGATGAGGTTCCCCCTCCTGGGGCGAACATCGTCGATGGCATGTGGATTTTCAGGGTGAAACGGCCGCCGGGTTCTCCGCCTGTCTTCAAGGCTCGTTACGTTGCTAGAGGCTTCAGTCAGCGAGAGGGGGTTGACTTCTTCCAGACCTTCTCCCCTACCCCGAAGATGACCACTCTTCGGGTGCTGCTGCACGTTGCCGCTCAGCGTGACTACGAGCTTCACTCACTTGACTTCAGCACAGCCTTCTTACAGGGCAGCCTGCACGAGGAGATCTGGCTGCGCCGCCCACCTGGCTTCACTGGGTCGTTCCCTCCTGGTACCCAGTGGAGCCTCCGGCGGCCAGTCTACGGTCTCCGCCAGGCGCCTCGTGAGTGGCACGACACACTGAGGACTACAATTGCGGCTCTTGGGTTTGCTCCTTCGACTGCTGACCCGTCACTGTTCCTGCGCACCGACACTTCGCTGCCGCCGTTCTACATCCTCGTGTACGTCGACGACTTGGTCTTTGCCACTGCTGACACCGAGGCTCTCGCTCAGGTGAAGTTGGAGCTGCAGAAGAGACACACGTGCATAGACCTGGGTGAGCTGCGCAGCTATCTTGGCTTGCAGATCACCCGGGACAGAGCACGCCGCACCATCACCCTGACTCAGTCACACATGGTGCAGCAGGTCCTTCAGCGCTTCGGCTTCTCCTGGTCCTCCCCACAGGCCACTCCTCTGGCTACAGGTCACTCGCTCTCAGCTCCACCTTCGGACGAGTCCGTAGAGCCGAGTGGTCCTTACCCAGAGCTAGTTGGCTGCCTCATGTACCTGATGACTTGCACTCGTCCTGACCTCGCGTACCCTCTTGGTCTTCTAGCTCGCTACGTGGCTCCTGGTCGGCACCGACCTGAGCACATGGCTGCTGCTAAGAGGGTACTGCGCTACTTGTGCAGTACATCAGGCATGGGGCTAGTGCTTGGAGGGAAGAGCCCAGTTGTTCTCACTGGGCACTCAGACGCGTCTTGGGTTGACGACCAGACTACTCAGCGGTCGTCACAGGGTTACACCTTCAGCCTTGGCTTTGACTCTGTTTCTTGGCGGTCTATACGCTCGTCTTCTGTTCTCAGCTCCAGTTGTGAGGCTGAGATCTACGCCACCGCCATGGCTGCACAGGAGTTACGCTGGCTCACCTACCTGCTGACTGACTTGGGTGAGCGGCCTCGTTCTCCTCCAGTTTTGTACGTCGACAACAAGCTACGCCCTGCTGTTGATGTGCGTAGGGAAGAGAGATGTGGTGCTCAATCCCCTTTTGCGCCAGGTAGTCCTGCATCTGATTGCTCTTGAATTCTGCCGCGCCGTCAGATTGCCAGATTTCAGCTTCTGCCCAGACTGCCGCTGCGCGTGCGCCAGCCAAAGGCGGAATACCTTGTAGGCTCTGTCGCGGGACTCCACGTTTGCGACCCACACGTAGCGCGTTCCGGCGTCGATGAAGGTAAGCGTGTACATTTCGTCGTCAACTCCGCAGTGCCCCACATTCATGAAGTCGTTGTACATCTTGTGCAGCTTGGGGTAGCGGTTCGTCCCTCGCTCGAGCAGTGGGAATGGTTGGTGACTCAGCGCGGCTTCGGGGCAGACGGTGCAGTTGCGCGGATGTGTCGCGCCTCTCACTTCGGTGCCATCTGGGCGCAGGAGCACTCCAGCAGCGAAGACGCCTGCGTCGATGCAGTTTTTCAGCGTCGCGCGTGAAGGATGTCCGAGGCGCTGGTGCCAGAGTGCATTGTCAGCGAGAAAACGGAGGTGCGCATGTAGCGCGCGCGGGCTTCTTCGGGGTCTTCGTCAGATACGGGAGCAGGTTCTGCTGGTGCTTCTTCTGCTGCTTTTTCCTCTTCGTTGGCGGTAGTCAGCATTAGCGCCAGAAATTCTCTGTCGCAAATCTCAGAGAGGGATGTTAGTCCCAGGGATGGTTCCAGGAACAAAGGTGGGTTCACGCGGTTCAGGAGCGGGTCCGTAGACGGTGCGGCGCGGGGTTGACGGCTCGTTGCCCCATTCGATGGTGTCCCAGGGATCGCGATGCGGTGGGTTGTCAGGAGGAGGTAAGAGGCATGGCGCGGGGGACGACCAAGAGGAACAACTGCAGGTGTTGCTTCAATTTCCTCTACTTCTTCTTCTCCCCCCCTTTGGTCTTCGCGGGAAGTCCCCCAACCGCTGTTGTTGGCGCCGGTTGCGGCGCCCAATTTGCCGCTTGCGTTGGCCCGGGTTCCGCCGTCGTTTCCCCATCCGCCGGTATTGCTCGTTCCCCATCCGCCAGCGCTTCCCCACCCCCCTTCATTTGAGGCACTTTCTTTCGCTTCAGCTCCCCATGCGCCGTAAGCAAATGTCCCGCGCGCTTCGGCGAGACTTTATTGGCGAAGCTCCTCAGCTTCGCGGCGCGCCAGTGCTTCCTCCTGTTGCACGGTGAGTTTCGCCGTGGGGTCGCGCTAGTGGGGGTAAACCTTTAGAAATTCCTCGCGTGTGTAAGGGCGCGCGACTCCGTGCATGTCGAAAGTTCCGCGGCGTTGTCCGCGTAGGATGCCGTCGAGCCGCTGAGAGGGTGGTCCAGCGTGGGGGCTTTGGTCGGTGCCGAACACGCGCTGAGTGGTGACTTCGAGCTCGAGCTGTGACATTCCTTCTTCTGGCGGCGCGTGACGATCGGCTTCGACGATGGCGGCTAGTCTGCGGCCGGCAATTGCGCTGGTTGACGTTGTTGGTGTGTGGCAGTCCCTGCAGATGCCGTCTGGGTCAGGGTCATGCAGCGTTGTTTCGCGTGGGTGGGGATTATGCGGCACTCACGATCTGCCGTCAGGGTGCTTCCAATCCCTGCAGTGGATATGCTCGAAGCGCGGTGGCACGAGATCAATTAGCTCGTGCGAATCGCCGCTGCAGTCGGGAATGTCGAAGTCCAGGACGTATACTCCGTTTTCGGAGTGTGCTCGTCCGATCTGCCTGCGGGGGAAAGTCCTTGATTCGTAGTGCATCAGGATGTCGCGCGTCGCGCAATCCTTGCTGAGGTCAACGCCGCAGTCCATGAGCTGTGCGGCGGAAAGCAGGTTGAAGCGCAGGTTCTGGACGATCAGCACATCGTTGAGCGTGATGTGCGTGCGGCTTCCGCGTGCCTTGAGCACGACGATGCCTTGCGCGCTTGCGCGCAGGCGAGTGTTGTTAGCCACGGTGACGTAGGTAAGTGTGAGGGTGGCGACGGCGTTGGATATGTAACGCTCGGAGCCCACCATGTGCTTGCCGCAGCAGCTGTCCATGTCAGAATATTATGCTCTAGCCTACAGTGGGGTACTCTATAGCGAGTACAACCCAATTAGGGTTTCCTATATGTATGCCAACTGCTGCTAGTGCAAACCCTCCTTTCTTCATTCTTACTTTCTACAGCTAGTTCTGACATGCTATCAGAGCAGGTCGACCCTCCTGGGTCGATCCTGTGGGTGGGCCCACCACCTAAGCCT